GAGGGACTATTTGGGCTTGTGCCGAAGACTTGGTGTTGACGACATTCCCATCTTCCCCCTCCTCTTCGTCTATCCCCTTCCTCTTCGTCTGTGTATGGTATGGGCTGGCTCAGTCTTCCTGTGTGAAGCGCCAGGCCCATTTCACACCATGTAACGATGATGATGATGTATGTTCAGGGCTGCATTGCAACATTGATTGTTCGGATCACTGGTATCTAAGTCTTCCGTTGTGCTATCTTATACTTTGTATTGAAAGGTCGGTTCTTGTTCTGGTTTGCACGTTACAGTATGCAACAAAACCCCACTGGTGGGCACTGCTGCTGCATACCCACTGCTTCTTTTCCCATGCATTTGTTACCCCCATCCCTAGGGTTAGGCATCCCATTCCCAGACTCCCACATCACTGCGGGGGGTTCGTGAGGGGGTCAGCTACCCTGGTGTTCCCTAGAGGAGGTGGATTTCCAAAATGTATTCAGCATCTCATTTTTGACCGATCAAAACTATGCCTGTTGATATGTGCCGTTTAGCACTATGGATGTGTTCAGGAAGCAGATCCTGCCGATTTTGAATGTTATCATCGTCCCCCTGGCTGTGCAGGACGCACGCTAACATGCTACGAGCGGCTATCCATAGCAGAGGGAGCAGCCAGTGGATTGGTATATCTTCACGTGCATGCGGATCCACCCATTATTCACCGTGATATCAAGCCTGGAAACATCCTTCTCGACAGTCGGTTTGTTGCAAAAGTTGCAGATTTCGGCCTCTCAAAACTTGCACCGGATGGGGGAACACACTTGGTTACTACAGTAAAAGGAACAACGGTAAGCCAAACCAGTCCAATCTTTCCAACTGAAATCGCCATCCCAAAATAATCTATTACTAAAAGAGACTCTCAACATCACATATATTTGACTGGCAGACACAGGATGGGCGGGGCAGACTACAGCTCACTGGTGCTGCTCACTGCGGTCTAGCTCCGATGACGTGTGGGATTGAAGAACAGGTGCAAGGCAGCAGGGAGGGGGACCTCAACAAGGCATAAAGCACCTGACTTTTGCAATATGCCATAATGAGACCGAGATCGGTCTTAGGAAACGGCTGTACCAGTGATCGATGTAAATCTTGAGAGGTCCTTAGGGCGCTGCAACAAAGGATAGTTGTTGTATGGACCAGGGCTGTACGAGTCCAAAGAGATGGGGTGGTTTTCACAGGAGTCATGCTTGCAGAGTTTCAGTGGATGGTAGCAAACACAGAATTGTCTCCCTCCCAAATCCGCAGATCATACCCCTGGACACTGTACATCGCTGGTCACCTTCTCGATATATATGATACAGGTACCCCAAGCCGAGGCACCATAGAGAGAGCTGTTCTCCACAGGTGTCCCTTTTGCATAGTCTGTGGTTTTGTGTCTCCGTTAATTGCCAGGGTGATCCATACCAGCAACCCCCTGAGACACTTGCTAAGTTGCTTACCCTATCCAGGCCGCAGATCATGAAGGACTGAGCAGGAGAGAGACCAATTCCAATAAGATTCAAGGTGATAGACAAGTCGCATAATTGCTGTATACCTAGTGTGTCAGTAAATGGTAAACAGCAATGAATTGTCCCCTCCGAAGTTCTTGGGATCGATGTCTTTGCTGTATTTCTTCATTATGGTTGTCTACAATTCTAACCAATCATCTTATCTCATTCTTCGTGTGCCGGTGCTGCCACATCAAGCCCCAACATGTCATTGCTATACCATCGCTAATGCGGCCCGCGTACACCATCTGCCTCACCTTCTCACTCTCCTTGACATTTGGCTTCCCCCCAAATTTGTCAACAGGTGAACACAGCAAGCAACCCCCCGTCGACCTGATTTTCCTTAACTCCCTCACTGCTCCCAAAGCTACCTCTGTACCCCTCGCACAAGGTGACCAACTAATGGTGCTCATCTGTTCCGAACCTAATAGCAGCAACTCTAATATGGATATCCCGACAGAATGAGCGTCCTGAGAAGTTAGAACTGCGTTTGATTCCCAGCCGAAACCAAACAAAACATTGAAAATCGGACATCGCTTCTAAATTTTGAAACTTGGGTTGTCTGCTTGTTAACATTATTGGTTCCTTTGGCGATGTCTGGGCAACTGGCACAGTCATGACCTACCCTCTTCCGAACCTAATAGCCGCAACTCTGATATGTATATCCTGACAGAATCAGGGTCCTGAGAAGTTAGAACTGAGTTTGATTCCCAGCTGAAACCAAACAAAGAATTGAAAATTTGACGTTGCTTCTAGATTCGAAACTCGGGTTGTCTGCTTGTTAACAGTGTTGGCTCCTTTGGCCATGATAATCCATCACTAGTCTGTCTGTGCAAGTGGCACAGTCATGACCTATCCTCTTCCCCTGAATACAACACACCGGGACCAATGCTGGATTAGACTGGAAAGATAGCTTGCGTGCATTCATGGTCAGGTCGTAGTCCCTACCCTTGGCATGAGCAGTTCTTAAAGTGCACAATTCGTGTGAAGAGAGGTTGTGTAGCTAGTAACGAATGGCTTGATTGGGTGGGCTGCTTCTCGTCTGGCAATAAATGTTTGAATTGCAGGGATACTTGGATCCTGAGTACTACATGAACAACACGCTTTCCGAGAAAAGTGATGTATTCAGCTTTGGGATTGTGCTATTGGAGTTGTTCACTGGGAGGTTACCTATTGTAAATGGCCGCCACATTCTTGCAACGGTGTGCACAACTCCCCTTCCCTTCGCTTCCCTTCCCTTCCCTTCCCTTTTCCTCCCTGCTGGAGCATTCTGTTTCTCCATCATCAGGCTGGCTTTCTGCCCCATCCATTTCCCATGTTCTTATCAGCGATCTACCTCATCACTCCTGCCTCCAGCATTGTCTCCCACTTATCCCATGCTGTGACCTGCACGACATGACTCTCTCTCTCTCTCTCTCTCTCTCTCTCTCTCTCTCTCTCTCTCTCTCTCTCTCTCTCTCTCTCTCACACACACACACACACACACACACACACACACACA